GAACTTTGCAAGTACAGTTGGGCTCATTTTCCTTAGTAAATGTAATATGGTAAAGCTTCACATTGGAAAAAATACCTAATCAGGGTTAAGGGAAATTAACAAACAAAAAAGCATATTATTGGAAGATGGAAATCAGCAGACCTTTACCACATTTACCAAGCTCTGAGGATAATGAGTACAGCTGCACTTGCAAAGTGCACAGTCTATCTGCCTTTCGTAAATCCACCTCAATGTATTGAAGCTGGTGGCTCAGCATGACAACCAGGCAAATGGCGTTTCCAGAAGGAGAGTTTAGCAGCAGACTGTCACTTTCATAATGTGTGCCCTTTAACGTGTCGGAATTCACACTGTAGAGGACTGCATTGTTTATTTGATCAGGTTAGTACACAGGAAGCATGGTGATGGCACCCTCAGGAGCCATTGACATGCCTGAGTTCATTATCTTCCCTAGAAAACAGGATGGAATGTTGTTGTTATGGGCAGCAGAGCTATTTATGACAAACACACTTGTGTTTAATGCTTTGTGGTTTTTGCAGTTTCATGTTTTTAGATCTCTTGCAATTGTCAATGATTTCTGTGAGTAATGTATAGATGATCTGTCTTCGTCTTTGCAGAAGTGAAGCTAGCATGTCGAGGAGTGTGGGCAGAGCGTGCCTATGAAGATGTCTCCCAGGATGGCCACTGTAAGGGGACCTGGGAACTTTTGAAAACTGCAATTCCTGAGAACAGAGGTAGATTAACCACTTGCCCTCCAGAGGATTTACCCCCTTCCTGACCAGGCCTTTTTTTTTGCTATTCAGAGCTGCGCTATTTCAACTGGTAATTGCGCGGTCATGCAATGCTGTACCCAAACAAAATGTGTGTCCTTTTTTTCACACAAATTGAGCTTTCTTTTGGTGGTATTTGATCTCTTCTGAGGTTTTTATTTTTTGCGCTATAAACACGAAAAACATGAAAAAACTATATTTTTTTACTTTCAGCTATAAAAATTTATACTAAACTCAAAGCTAGTCATAGGTTTAGGCCAAAATGTATTCTGCTACATGTCTTTGGTTAAAAAATCCCAATAAGTGTATATTGATTGGTCTTTGTCAAAGTTATAGCGTCTACAAACTATGGTATAGATACTGCAATTTACGCCATTTATTTGCTATACAGCGCTGCACTACTTTAACTGACAATTACGCAGTCATGCAATGCGGTACATGAATGACATTTAATGTCCTTTTTTTCACACAAATAGAGCTTTCTTTTGGTGGTATTTGATCACCTCTGTTTTTTTTTTTGCATTATAAAAAAAATACCAAAAATTTTGAAAATAACCCGATATTTTCTCAAATATCCAATAAACTCAAATTTCATCATAAGTTTAGGCCAAAATGTATTCTGCTACGTGTCTTTGGTAAAAAAATCCCAATAAGTGTATATTGATTGCTTTGTGTGAAAGTTATAGCGTCTACAAACTATGGTATAGATAACGGAATTTACACAGCTTTTACTTTCTGACTGCCCATCACTTTTCTTTTAGGTGCTAAAATACCAGGATAGTACAAACACCCCAAATGACCCCTAAGCTATCTGCTGAGAGGCAGGTTGAGTCCATGGAAGATTTTTTCCACAAGTTTTTGGACAATGGCAAAAACATTTTTTAAAATTTGTTTATACACAAAGTTGTCACTTAAATGATATATTGCTCGCACAAGCCATGGGTATATGTGGAATTACACCCCCAAATACATTCTGCTACTTCTACCGAGTATGAGGATACCACATGTGTGAGACTTTTTGGGAGCCTAGCCACATACAGGAACCTGAAATCCAATGACCACTTTGAAAGCCTGAAGGTGTGTAACTTCCTCATTTCACTTCATCACTACCTATCACAGTTTCAGAGGCCCTGAAACGCCAGGATAGCACCAACCTCCCACCCCCAAATGACCCCTTTTTGGAAAGTAGACACTCCAAGGAATTTAAAAAGAGGCATGGTGAGTATTTTATAGATCTAATTTTTTCTCACAAGGTTTTGAAAAGTAAAAAAAGAAAAGAAAAAATATGTACAGAGTGCAGGGGTCAGAAATATATAAAAGGAGAGAGAGGGGTGCCAGACTAAGTGCAGTATTTGACAATCATCATTTCAAAGCTATTTGCTTCTTTGTCAGAGGTCTGACGAAGAAGCAAATAGCTTTGAAACGCATTACCACCCCTTCCGTCCGGTGGCCATCTTGCGTTCCAGCCTGGTTCCATACACGAGACACCCCCTCTTCTCTGCCTCTGGAACCTCTTCTGGATGACGTCCCTATGTTCCAATACCTCTTGTGAGTTACATATCATTGTGTGCAATAAATGATTGTCAAATACTGCACTTAGTCTGGCGCCCCTCTCTCTCCTTTTATCTTCCACTACAGAGTCCAGCTTAACTCTATAGGGTGCTGCCTCATGACTGTGCTATCCTAATAGCTGAATACCTCCCTACTACCTATGGGACTGTAATATTTAACCCCATCTCTCCAGCGCCAATATATCACCTTATGTTACACATTGAAGCCTTCATTGTGCTGCGGGGATCCTTTATCTATTCTCATAGCTGAATACCTCCCGACTACCTATGGGACTGTAATATTTTAACCCCACCTCTCCAGCGCCAATATATTACCTATTGTCAGAAATATGTAATGTACAGAGTGCAGGTGTCGGAAGTATGTATGGTACAGAGTGCGAAGGTCAGGAGTAAGTAATGTGCAGAGTGTAGAGGTTATAAGTATGTAGTGTACAGAGTGCAGGGGTCAGAAGTATGTAATGTACAGAGTGCAAGGGTCAGGAGTATGTAATGTACAGATTGCAAGGGTCAGGAGTATGTAATGCACAGTGTTCCAGGGTCAGGAGTATGTAATGTACAGTGTTCCAGGGCCAGGAGTATGTAACAGAGTGCAGGGGTCAGGAGTATACAACATAAAGTGCAGCCTTTTGTCTTGTGCAATATTCATTCCTGAGTTGTGTGACCTGTGTGATGCACTCTCCTGAGCTTTGTGCAATACACACTCCTGAGCACTCTTTCCTGTGTGATATGCACTTCCCAGTCCTGAACCCTGTGTGATATGCTCTCCTGACCCCCGCGTCCTGTGTGATATGCACTTCCCAGTCCTGAACCCTGTGCGATATGCTCTCCTGACCCCCGCGTCCTGTGCGATATGCCCTTCCCAGTCCTGAACCTTGTGCGCTATGCTCTCTTGAGCCCCGTGTCCTGTGCGATATGCACTTTCCAGTCCCGAACCCTGTGCGATATGCTCTCTTGAGCCCCGCGTCCTGTGCGATATGCACTTTCCATTCCTGAACCCTGTGCGATATACTCTCTTGAGCCCCGTGTCCTGTGCGATATGCCCTTCCCAGTCCTGAACCCTGTGCGATATGCTCTCCTGATCCCCGCGTCCTGTGCGATATGCACTTCCCAGTCCTGAACCCTGTGTGATATGCTCTCTTGAGCCCCGCGTCCTGTGCAATATGCACTTCCCAGTCCTGAACCCTGTGCGATATGCTCTCTTGAGCCCCGCGTCCTGTGCAATATGCACTTCCCAGTCCTGAACCTTGTGCGATATGCTCTCCTGATCCCCGCGTCCTGTGCGATATGCACTTCCCAGTCCTGAACCCTGTGCGATATGCTCTCTTGAGCCCCACGTCCTGTGCAATATGCACTTCTGAGTCCTGCACCCTGTGTGAAATACACACCTGAGCCCCCCATGTGATAGGCACTCCAGAGCCCTGTACAGTAGTGCTGTATTGCTGCACAAAAATAAAGTCCCCATGTAAACTGGGCATTTGCCCAACTCTTCTGAATGTTTTAAATGAGCTTAAAACTGCGTTTTGTAAACGTGCATGCTGGGCATTCATTCATTTCATTGGTAACAATATTCATTTGTTCTAGCCTTTGAAATGGATGCTCAGATGCTAAACGAGACAAGCATTAATGCACGCTTAGACGCATTTACACACGCTTTGGTGCATTGGGCGTTTTTCTGCTAAAATGCTCTCTGGGGTTTTGTCTGCCTCTAAATGCCTGTAAATGACTATATGAACAAGGATACACTGGCTACTGTGACGCAGAAAAAAAAAGGTCAAACGCCTTTGAATGGGATGTTTTTGATGCCTGGTGTGCATGCGGCCTAAGGGTAAAAAAAATCCAAATTAATGTGGGGGAGGGGGAGAAGGCAGGGAAAATAGCTGTGTATTTAGGGTGAAGGTCCGCTTTAATGTCACTGAAAAATGACCTTTCCTTTTCAATCTATGGCAGCTGTAATTTTCTGTAAGACATGACAACCTGAAGGTGTCCCGTAAACAGTTGATGTATGGAACACTCTAGAAATGTCATTTCCTGCTTGTGTGATTGGCTCATGTAGTTCCCAAGAAGTCTGTACTAAGATACAAGTCAGATTTTAGACATCCCCTGCAACAGGAATTTCCATTTCAGTGAGAGACTCTCCAAGGCTTACTTCTAGAGCAGTGGTCTCCAAACTGTGGCCCGGGGGCCAAATGCGGCCGTTTGCTTGCTTTTATGAGGCCCTTGGGGCACTATTTCATCCACTGATACCAACAATGGGGCATAATTCCCCCCACTGACACCAATGATGGGGCACAATTCCTCCCAATGACAACAACAATAGGGCCCACTGACACCAATGATGGAGCATACTCCCCCTCCACTGACACCAATGATGGAGCATACTCCCCCCCCCACCACTGACACCAATGGGCACTATTCCTCCATATGAGGCCAATGGTGGGGCACTATTCTTCCCAATGATGCCAACGATGAGGCACAATTTCTCCTAACGACACCAATAATGGAGCATACTCCCCCCCCACTGACACCAATGGGCACTATTCCTCCCAATGACGCCAATGATGGGGCACTATTCCTCCCAATGATACCAATGATGGGGCACTATTCCTCCCAATGACGCCAATGATGGGGCACTATTCCTCACACTGATACCAATGATGGGGCACTATTCCTCCCAATGACGCCAATGATGGGGCACTATTTCCTCCCAATGACGCCAATGATGGGGCACCATTCCTCCCACTGATACCAATGATGGGGCACTATTCCTCCCACTGATACCAATGATGGGGCAATATTCCTCCCAAAGATGGCAACGATGGGGCACAATTTCTCCCAACGACACCAATGATGGAGCATACTCCACCCCCCATTGACACCAATGGGCACTATTCCTCCATATGACGCCAACAATGGGAAACTTTTCCTCCCAATGATGCCAACGATGAGGCACAATTTCTCCCAACGACACCAATGATGGAGCATACCCCCCCCCCCACTGACATCAATGGGGCACTATTCCTCCATATGATGCCAATGATGGGGCACTATTCCTCCCAATGATGCCAACGATGAGGCACAATTTCTCCCAATGACACCAATGATGGGGCATAATTTCCCCCCCACTGACACCAATGATGGGGCATAATTCCCCCCACTTACACCAATGATGGAGCACTGCTCCTGCATATGACACCAATGATGGGGCACAATTCCTACCAATGATACCTACAATGGGGCCTAAAGACCCCACTGATGGGGCACAATTCCTCTCACTGACACCAAAAAATGGAGCGTTGTTTTTTCTCACTAACACCGGGACATTTTCTACTCCCAAAGGCCACAGTCCTGCCCCCTTAGAGTGTGAAGGACAGTAAACTGGCCCTATGTCTAGAAAGTTTGGAGACCCCTGGTCTAGAGGGATGCGGATCCCACAGTTTTTTTCTCCTTCTAGCACTGAGAGTGCACCAGGTGACTATACTGATCCAGACCCTCCCATTCAGAATCAGTCTGCAAAGGACATGGCAAAATGAACAGCTGTTTCTTCAGAGCAGAAAAGGGTAAAACGTGGTAAAATCCTTGCTGTTGGCATCAATCACCCAAAACGGATTATTTTTTCTCAATAAAATTGAGTTATACTAAAATCAAAATGTATTATATAGCACCATACCAATCATTAGATATGGTGGCTGCATTTGCATTTGTTTCTTTTTTTATGCTTTTCCCTTCTGTTTTCACCTGGTGATCTGCCTAGTAACACACACCTCCTGTATTAGCGTGTCCCCACTCTGGATGAAGGAGCACAGGGGGCACCTTTGGACTAGACATGTGCAAAACAAAAAAAAAATTGTTTCGATTTGTTATTTGATTAATTTAGTTTCATTTGATTCATTTAGTTCATTTAATTCATTTTCGGAATTGGTTTCATTTATTTGAATTTGACCAAATTCTAAATTTCGAACAAATCTACAAATAATTTTTATGGATTTGATAATAATTCTACCGTTACAATCCATAATCCACAATCCAAATGTGTTTTTGATGGTATATGGGCTATATGAAGAATTGTGCGAACATATTGGAAATATCTATTTTTTCAGTCTTTGTTGATCACTACTCACGTCACCATAGTGCAGCTCACAATTTTTATTGTTTTGTAAACTATTCTATTCTTTTATTTTCTATTCTATTACTTTATATTTTTATTCTAGTGTATTCTATTCATATTCATATTCAAATTCATTCTATCAAATGCAGCAACCACATCTAAGAATTGGTAAGCTGCAATATAATAAATGTTTCTTTTGGGTTTAATATTGCTTTAACTGATACATTTGCAGGAGAGCTTGTTCTTTTGAAACACAACAGACTTTCTGGCCGGATCACTGGATAAAAATTAAGTAAACAAAGGCCAAAAGAAAAAAACTAACACAGCAACCATATCTAAGAATTGGTAAGTTGCAATATAATAAATGTTTCTTTTAGATTTAATATTGCTTTAACTGTTACATTTGCAGGAGAACTTGTTCTTTTGAAAAACAACAGACTTATTGGCCGGATCACTGGATGAATATAAAGTAAAGAAAGGCCAAAAAAAAAAAAACTAATGCAGCAAACACATCTAAGAATTGGTAAGCTGCAATATAATAAATGATTTATTTTGGGTTTAATATTGCTTTCAAAGAATCTCTTTTGTGCATAATCTAAAAATCTAATAAAAAAAGATGGTCCTTTGAATCTGCCCCTGTATGGTACCCAGGGGTGGACTGACCATTCGAGCACTTGGGCACTGCCCAAGGGCCCGAGGTCAGTAGGGGGCCCCATGAGATGCCCCTGGTACCTTTCATAGGCTTTTTTGGGTGTGGTTTGAGTGTGGGCGAGGACAGAGGGGCCCCAGGGGGGCCATGAGTTGTCAGTCCACCCCTGATGGTACTTAACATGCCACAGCAGAGGTGCTGATAGACTATCAGCTATTCAAAACATGCAGCCTCACCAAAACCACACACACACAGTCTGAGAGTGTACCAAGAGTGTTCCCAAGAAAAATACCACACTGGGATAAAATGTTTCCTGTGACTGAAATAAACCTCCGAGGCAATTCCCTGCAGCCAATCAGATTTAGGACATACGAAAGACACAAGTGTGGATGAAACGTACAAGTGGCCTTACACAGGGACAGGATGATTAAAGCAGAACTCTGGGAACAAAAACCTTATTTAAATATTTTCCTCAGTAGCCAAAAATCATATAATACCCATTTGTGAGCACCAAATGCCTTTGCAAACCCAGATATTACTTTGTAAAAGTAGGACTGACATCATCATTGTGCTGTGCATAGCCTGTAAAGAGCAGAGCTGTGGGAGGCGCCCAACAGGCTCCACCCACTACAGGCTGCCTGTAGAACATGACAGTGGGCGGAGATAAGACCAGTCACCCTGTACAAGGAGAGATAGCAACACTGACCGGTCTTTATTACAGGAAGCTCCTGCACAGAGGGAAAGTGTCACGCTGGATTGCTGCACAGATCTGGAAGAAATACACAAAGCACACAGATTCAAGTATGAACATATGTGATTCTTGTATTTAAGCCGTATTTACTTATCCCAGAGATCAGCTTTGACCGCTTCCTGACCGCCCTATAGGAGAACTACTGCTACAGGGCGGCAGGGTGGCTGTGCAAAATTATGTATATATACAGGATTTTGCATTTCTGGGTAGGGGGCGTTAACGCCGCCCTACCTGCCCCGCCATTGGCAGCTACAGCTGTCAATCACCGGGTCCCGGCCGGAGATTTCCCGCCAGCACCTGGGGATTGCCGAGGAACAGTGAAAGGGGAGAGGTCTGTATGTAAACAACACGGATCTCTCCCGTCAGCATAGCAGAGCAATACAAAGCAGCATTTCTCACTAGTATAACACACACAGCACACAGTTAACCCTTTGATCGCCCCGGATGTTAACCCCTTCCTGCCCAGTGCCATTAGTACAGTGTCAGTGCTTTGTATTAGCACTGATCACTGTATTAGTGTCACTGGGGGATGTCAGTGGCAGTTCATCAGTTCCCCCCCCAGTGTCAGAATGCCCACCGTAGTCCCGCTATAAGTCGCTGATCGCCGCCATTACTAGTATTGAGAAAAAAAAAATTCCAGCATATATACCATATATATTTACAGACGCTATAAGTTTCAAGTAAACCAGTTTAATTTACACGTATTGGGATTTTTTTGCAACAAAAAACGTGGCAGAATACATTTTGGCCTAAAGTTTTTTTTCAAAATTGTCGGTCTTCTTTTGTTTATAGCGCATAAAATGAAAAAGAAACAGGGGATCAAATACCACCAAAAGAAAAAAAAGGACGGAAATTTAATTTGGGTGCAGCGTTGCATGACCGCGCAATTGTCAGTTAAAGTAGCACAGCGCCGTATTGCAAAAAATGGCCTGGTCAGGAAGGGGGGAAATCCTCAGGAGGGCAAGTGGTTAAAGCATATTTACTAATCCCAGAGATCAGCTTTAACCATTTCAATACCGGGCAATTTTACACCTTCCTGCCCAGGCCATTTTTCACGTTTCAGCGCTCTCACACTTTGAATGACAATTGCGCGGTCATACAACAGTGTACCCAAACTAAAATTTTATCATTTTCTTCACACAACTAGAGCTTTTTTTTGGTGGTATTTAATCAATGCTGGGTTTTTATTTTTTGCTAAATTAACAAAAAAAAGACCGCACATTTTGAAAAAAAAAAACACGTTTTTTCTGTTATAAAAGTTTGTAAATAAATAATTGGTCTTCATAAATTTAGGCCGAGATGTATTCTGCTACTTGTCTTTGGTGAAAATAACCCAAATTAGGATGTATTATTTAGTCTGTAGGAAAGTTATAGAGTTTCACAAACTATGGGATATATCTGAATATTGATCAATCCTGAAGTACTGACAGCCAATCTAATTTCTTGAGGTCCAAGAATGTCAGAATAGTACAGATATCCCCCAAATGACCCCTTTTTGCAGAGTAGACAGTCCGACGTACTTCATAAGAGGCATGGCGAGTTTTTTGAAGTTGCATTTTTTTTTGTCATAATTTTTCGGAAAATGAAAAAATGCAAAAAAAAATTATTTTCACTATTTTTTTTTTTTTTACATACTGTCACCAGTGCAGTACAGTGTCATCATATAACTGGCATGGCGGTGAACAGGGACACTGACTGGTGACAGTATGAAAAATATATATATATATATATTTTTTAAATTTTTTTATTATTTTTAATTTTTTATTACTTTTTTTTTTATTTTTTTTAAGATTTTTTTTTCATATTTTACTGTGACCAAAGTAGTACAATGTTACCATAGTAACATTGTACTACTTTGGGGAAGTGATCAGTATTTTTTTTTTTTTTTTACACAATTTGCTTATAGCAAAGAATTACTTTGCTATAAGCAAGCATTTACCAGAATGAAAGCGATCCATTCAGGGTTTTTTTTTTTTTTTTTTTTTTTGTTAGCTTAGCAGTGATTTGGCCACAGCTAATCACATGACATGTGCATGTGACCTGCTGTGACCATTCACAGCTAGGCACTAGTATACAATGGATGGCATGAATGAAGCCATCCATTGTATACAACTGTCATGTGACCTGCTGTGATTGGTCACAGCAGGTCACATGGCACTGGCAACGGGGCCGGTACTCAGATCTGTCATCGGCGGTGTCCGAGATACACGGCTGGTGACAGATCGTGCCTCTGGAACCGCGCGAACTGCGCATGTGCGGGAGCACGCCAAATGGCGTGCACACCCGGAAAGGTGAAACGTTTTTTTGCCGCCGCCAAGCGGCTATAGGCCGGGCGGCAAATGGTTAAAGAATAAATCTTGAATGACTAAAACAGAGTGTTGATGTAAGTAGATTATACAACACGTCTACTATAAATCAATGTCATTGTAAAGCTCTTTTCCTCCACTGTCTGGCCTGTAGTTCAGTACCCATGTTTTAGAACATATAATATCATATAATATGTACAGCTGTAGTTTTATATGTATATAGGGAAAGCCACATTTGTACATTACATATGTAGGTTCTGCTTCCTTTTCTTCAGTACTGTCCAGAGGTCAGGGGTTCTGCATCCTCCTAGGGCAGAAAAAAACTCCTCCTACAAGCTTTAACCAGTGCTCAGCTGGACACTGATAGAAGTTACAAGACTGCTCTAACTGCTGAT